GGCGCCTGCGCCTCAGAGCGCGTTAACGCGTGGAACCTAAAGGAGTCAGGCGCGCGGAGCGAATTTCGCCAGATACGCGTTGATATTAGGATACGTGCGTGTATCCTCAACTTTATGCGAGTATATTAATACCCATTACATTTAGTTTCACACGGAAACGTTTTCTACCGACTTCAAAATTTACACAGTCTAACATTTACATTGAATCGTTTCGGGCAGTTGACATGCAGAAATCAGCCAACATCTCCAAGCGAACAGCTCCCTCCCTAACACCGGCGAAGGCGACTTTGGTATATTGGACTAATCAAATAGGATCAGAGTGATCCAGTTTATTTTAAGTAATATTCCACGAAAAATACTAATAATACAATAAATTAAAAATGAGAAACATAATACGTTATTAAAATTAAATTAAATGTACACAATCGAATGAAACATTTACTAGGACGATTCTCAATTATTAATTAAGTATGGTTTGTTAACATATCTGTAAGTGGTCAAGAACCTGTATCGTAGTGAAATTTGTATCGTAATGAATATCATTATGCAACCATCAAATGACAGAATTATTTAATGGGAGTAGAAAAAAGTACTAGTGCATACATGAAAGAAATAAAATTAAATGTGGACTGCGTTTGATCAACAATTAATTGGAATCACGTGACCTGTTTTCTGTTCGTAGCGTACGTTCTGGCTGACGCCGGATATGATGTGTGGATGGGAAATTTTCGAGGGAACAAATACAGCCGGCGTCACACGAGTCTCAGCCCCGATGGACTGTTCAACTCGAAATTCTGGAATTTCGATTGGCACGAAATGGGCATCTACGACATGCCCGCGTCTATCGACTACGTGCTCGAAACCACTGGAGAGGAAAAGTTATTCTACATAGGCCATTCCATGGGCACAACAAGTTTCTGGGTGATGAACGCCGTGCGACCAGAGTTCAACGCCAAATTCCGCGCCATGTTCGCATTGGCCCCTGTGGTCTACGTGCGCTACGTGCCCCAACCACTGCTGCGCGCCGCCGCCTACGCCAACAAGCCTCTTGAGGTGAGATCTACTCATTCCACGCTTGCAGCATGTTGCCTTACCTCACAATCACATTCCATTCGAGTACCTTTAACTAAGAGGTTGCCTCCATTTCTTCTGTTTCCAGTATTATTTTTAATGCTTCAACTAATACACTCAATACAAATTAACACAAAATGAAAATAAGCAATCGGCGTCGTTAGCCGAATTGCTAAGCAACGCTCCGTTAAGTCGTGGAAGTTAAGCAATTCGATATACCACGGATGGGTGACCGACTGGGAACCCCAGTTACTAACGACACTGAGTCCCTGACAGAAGGGATAAAACGCACTGACTGGCTGCGACGTTACGACACACGCTAAATAAATTAACCGGAGATATCTCCAAAGGATAGTTCAATTCCTTAAATAACTAAAGAGGCGAGTTTAAAAATATCAATTATGTTTTATAACAACATGTGCATTAATCGTATTCCTTGTGTGGTAGCTTGCATGCATTCGTCCGTCCGCCAACCTTCCGGTCTATCATTCTGCGCAAATGGGATATCATTCCCTTCTGTGTCTACTACCCTCCAAAATGTTCTAAGATAATTCTCGAAAAATCATGATTTTGATGTGTTTTAAGCATCTCAGGAGGTTCTGGGGATTTTTAAGGTATATAAAGAAATTAATTGTTCTTAACGACGAAAATATATTGACTCTGATTTTAGTCGGATTTTCTGGTATAATTCTAGAAAAAGACAGCGTATTTTGATGATGACAAGACATCTATAATTGTGAAACGCTCTGAATGTCTCTACTACGTTTCCAACATAAAGTGGATACTTAGAACACGCTTAATTAGATCGACGGCACGAAAACGAAATTATGTAATGTGACAAAAATATTCACACTTTCTCGAACTATTTCTGACTTTTCCAAATTTTAAAAATGTAGACAGTTCAACGAAAATTTGACCATTATTTTCAAGCGAATTTGCTCGATCCAAAAAAGGTTAAAGAAAATATTTCGAGACCTACGCCATCTTTATACATTACCCTCTATTCTCAGAAGGAATTTAATGGAACAATTTAGAGACATTTTTGAGAAAATTTGAAAATGTCTCAGGGGCGTCATGTAAAGAACCACCAAAATTTAAAAAGCGTTTCAAACTCGCTGAGCTTCGAGTCGAGCCTGATCGATCGGGAAATATTCATTTTGAGATATTTTTGAAAATAGGGCACGAGTGTTCGCAGACGGACGGACGGACAAACGGATGGACAGACTGACTAACGTTTTGAAAAAATCTACACTTTTCCGGTGTCATGGAACCCCAAAACTTGTGTTTCCGTTGTTATCTCGAAGTTGATTTTCCGCACCAATACATTATTTTCTCTATATTACATATACCTGTACGTTCTACTCCATTTACGAGAAATATACGTACTGAATACTATATACGTATGTATACAAGAAAGTAAAGAAATCAAATCTATAGTTCGTTTACCGATGCTTATTATTTTTCTATACCTCAGGAAAATGTCCAGGTTTCAAACATTGGTAACCTGACTTTTTTGGTAATTTTATTCATCGAGTAATTATGATTAAACTGTCGTGAAGAGATTCTGTAGCTGAAGAAACAGTGCGAAGATTGTACTTCTCCCCTGTTTGTCACATACTTTTTTTATTGTTCTTTGTCTAATCCTAACAATAATACGTTTAAGAAACACGTTACGAAAAATTTCCAGAAGTTGATATTCCCCCAAAGAACATTGATGCATAAGTCTATCATTTTGAAAACTTTAGCATTGTTCGTGACGTTTTTGACATTGATCGTGAAAACATAATTAACAGAAAATAACATTCTTCAACATTCTTCATGAAAAAGGTCTTGACTATTTAAGAAGTATTGGATTAAAATATCTATTGATTACAGACAGTCAGTTTCAAAGAAAATATTTTATTGCTTGGCACAACGTTTCACAGACGGATTTGACTACTTCCTCAGGTGCATCACTAAATAATAACAATAAATAATATTAAAATTACATAAATTTTCTAGAAGAAAAAACACACAAATCCGTCTGTGAAACGTTGTGCCAAGCAATAAAACATTTTATTTGAAAATTATTATCAATAGATTCTTTAATCCAATACATTTAACAGACGGTCATAAATATAACACAATTTATTTAAGAAGTAATATCTAAGAGATAATATTTCTAAAACAGTCAACAAATCTGTTCAAATTTGAACATTTATTAATATCTGTTTAATTTACAAATTTTCAAATCTGTACAATTTATAAATGTATTTTCAATTAAATTATATTTAAACACTTCCTTAAACTAATTCCTTGTAGGTAATTTAATTTATTTGATTTCACACTATTTCACTGTGTTAAGTATTTGTATTTATTAGCTTTTACGAGTTATTTCCATTTAATTCCACATTGTTTCTTGGCAGCTTATTTCCAAATTAATAGGTTACAATGAGCTCCTCCCAAGCAAAATACTACAGACAATCTTTGGGAAGATATGTAGAGATAAACTACCTTCCAAGATTATATGTGAAAATCTTATCTACTTTTTTTGTGGTTACAACCCTGAAGAACTAAATTCGGTAAGTCGGTACTTGGGATTTCATTAATGCTTTATTGAAATACTTACATAAGAATTCATGGTTAACTAACGAGAAATACCAAATATTCTCCCTGAATTAATAATGAAATTAAACCACAATTGCGAAAAGTACTTATCTTTTTAATGTAATTATTATGCTACCCAGAATAATATAGGCAGCGTTGAAATTTGTATTGACAGAGCAATGGACGTTATAGCGAAATATTTTTTTCAAAAAATGCCCATGACCGTATTTCAAGATTTAGTTTTCTAGAACAAATTTTAATAAGGAAAAGATCTTAATGATCAATATTGAAATTTTGGAAATTTATAAAATACAGAGATCATTGAATATGAAACATATGCCAATATTTTAATCGTCTTTTGCTCTATTGGGGGAAAACAAAATAAATTAGGAGTAATTTTTAAGAAAAAATATAAATTACATTAACTTCAAGTAAAAATACTCGTAAAAACTTACTTGTTTTTTAAAATGTGCAGGACATCTTTTAAGTATCTAAAATTTTAGAAAAGATGTCATTACAAAACAAAACCTTTCACATCAATGAATGTTTGTAATTGTTGAAAATACATCGTTTGGAGAAAGTGGGACCTGCGACATTTTTAGTGAATTTTGTCATATCTTTTAAGAAATTTTAAGAAATATTTTGAAGGCGTTCCTGAGAAAAAAAGTTTAAAACTTGACTATAGGCGACTTTAACGAAGAATTACACATATTTTAATGTTTTTATTTTGTGAAAAAACAACTCATATTTCCGAAAAATTATACAAAATCTTATTTGAAAATCTGTCTGTTTAGCTAATGTTCTTAAGGAGAAATATGTACCTTAAATATTTCAGTTGTAGGAAGATGCCGAAAAAACGAGAACTTTTTCAATTTTCGAATGTGACACCTGTACCATTTTTTAAGCGTTTCTTGGCCTTACTGGCTGTCGAACGCATTATCACGACTCTTCCTTGATTTCCCGAGTTAATAGTTCACCATTTTGCAGACGATGCTTCCAGTTCTTCTGGGTCACATGCCGGAAGGCACCAGCGCCAGGACGCTCCTGCACTACATGCAGGAGTTCTTAGCCGGTGAGCAACCAGTGCTGTGTCCTTCTTGGCGCGCAAACGGAACTAGTGGTGCTCAACAGCACGTACTTTTTCGCCCATACTTTCACGTCCAATCATGTGAAAAGTACTCTAATTTTCGAAAAATTGTATATGGCTTATTTCAAAATCTATTTTTAAGAAACAATTTTATTCAAGGAAAAATCTCTATCTTTAAAATTTTAGTTGTAAGAAGACTCCGAAAAAATGTTGATCTTTTGAAGTCTTAGAAAAATCAGGGTTTTTAACGAACATGAGACCTACACCATTTTCTTAAACGTCTTTCACTCATACTTTTTTGTTTCAAATTTTAAATACTTTAATTGATTTTGTAAAAAAAAATAAAGGTTTGTCAACGCAACTGCTATCCTCGGGCCGTCTTGTTCAAATTGGTGAAGCAAACATAATATTTGCGCCATGTAAGAGCGACTTCTGGGTTAAGATGATTGATACCAACAATGAGTAGGGTAACAATTTTGTAATTTAACTTATTGTACTATAAATATTAACATGATTGTCTAAGGTGCACTAATAATTATTCATTTAAAATTTTGTTTTATTCGTTCATTGATTATATGTTTTTATATACGTAATCTGTGACATACATTTTTGTTCATGTTTCATAGCCGAATAGAAATACCCTGGTTACGTCGGTGTTGTAGAGGCATACTAATTAAACCATTTTGATCATTTTTCTCAGTTTTGATTGGTAGTTGTGGAGTTTTAATTGCACGGATGTAATAATCATAGATATAATTTACGGTTTTTCATGGACTTAATGAGTATGTTTCTTTTTTCGTTTAGTTGGCTAAACATGCTCATTAATTACATGAACAATTGCGGATTATCACTATGTTTACTGCATGCATGCCATCAAAACTACTCCGTGCAATTAAAGCTTATAATTTATGTACGCTCACTAGTACAAAGAGAATGAAATACAAAGCCAGGCGACGGGCAGCTATCGGGCCAATGACGTCACGATGAGTAGGCCCACCAGCCCCGCCGCGGCTCCACTGAAGTTACTACAGAGATATTTTTATAAGAAAGGATCGTTTTGACAGCTAGTGCTGGTAACATAACTAAAGGTTCTGTGGTCGTCGTGTCCTTGAGTTCATTTCACTCTCCTTCCTTCATCCGTTCGTTTGCAGTTGGCTAACTTGTAAATGGCTTCGACGATTCCTTTTGGGATGTTCTCGTCCAAACGAAAATATAGTACGCCACAACAAATAACTGAAATTAGGAAATGCAGTGCTGGGTGCTCTTCTGCAAACATTTATTTTTTTATAAACATTGCACTTAATTTACTTTTGGTGTGATAAGTATTATGTCGGCCCTCTTGTTGACAACTGACTGAGCAAGGAAAGTAATATTAATTTTAACAATGATATTTAATGTATTATATACCATTTAGATTGTATAATTGTAAAGAACCTGTAACAAGTATTGTTCTTCAGCTTCTGGTCAATAACCCCATCTCGATCAGGTTTTCATCCAGTTTCCTTGATCCTCGAGCAAATGCTGAGATGGCCCCTTGTTTTGGTTCTGGACATAAATGTAACTTCAAATTAACTATTCCCCATAGCAAGTCACACACAGTTTTTAACTGTTTTTGACGTTAATAAATAAACAAACAGACTGCGACGAAACTGGCACTAGGCTTAAAAGTAAAAATGTTAACGTAGAATTACTACATTTGTAATTGTTAGCGAAGGATTACTCCACAGTGCGCTCAACGCTATGCGATGCGTTGCGTCAATACAGACGCAACTAGTTGAAAAAAGCGTGGTTGAACAGCTTTCGCGGCGGCGGGATACTTCTTTGAATTACATGTGATTTTCTCTCGTGGAGCGAACTGTCCGTTTGGCTCACTCTTAGGTGGATTCTTCTGAGGGAAGAATCATTTATATTATCTAATTTAACAACTTATTGTTTGAATAATTAACATACTCCAAAAATGGACAAAAATACATAACTTTTCATCAACCTTAAGTCTAAATGCATCGAAAAATACTTGCAGGAAAATTCAATAGATAGCAGCACTATCACAGGGGAATTTACTTTACTGATAACGTCTGAACCAATGGTCCGATTTTCGATTAAATTTACTTTACTGATAACGCTGAACGCAATGGTCCGATTTTCGGATTTGTAAAACGGCATTTGACGGCCTTTTTAAAATACGAATTTAGCTAACGATTAGATCTCTTTCCAAAATCTAAGCAAAAACGCGAATTTGGAAATTAGTTTCTACACCTTCCGAGAAAATGTGGGCTCTATAGCGCGATGGCGACATGCTTCTGAGGATCCAAGGCCATGACAATTGCAAACGTGCCACGGTGTTTATCTCTTCTCCGCTTGCGGGCGTCGAGCAAGCAGTATACTTTTTCGTGAAACTTTGAGTTCTTTTCAATCTAGATCTCCTCTTTTAAACAGGTTACATATTTATTTTAAAAACTATTTAACATGACCAAGTGGCCACAATGTCATATATTTCAAGAAGGTGCGTTTAATTTTGTTTCGTAAATCATCGCTTCGGGGGTCCTTGATTTTAAATGTTTAAATAATATCTTTGTGAGATTTTATCTTATCATGTTTAGGATGCGAATAATTATAATTTTGTATGAATAGTTCATCAAATAGATACGGGGGCAAGACACGTTTCGGTCGTTTATGAATGTGCAGCACAAATATTTTCCAGATGTTTACTTCAGCTGCAGAATAGAGATACACAGTGAGTAACTGTTGGGTTTTGCTATATAATAACATCTAAGTGATACAGTGATGTATGTTACCGGATAGGTAAAGTGAATGAGACACAAATAAGAAAGTTTAGATTATTCTATCTAAAGATGAAAAAGGAGATGTCGGTCGCAACCCAGGGGAGGGTGACTTGGACTGGGGACAGACGGGGTTCGGAGTGACTGGAGCGGAAGGGAGTGACTGGGGCGTAATATTATCAAATTATCGAAAGGTAGAGATCGACTTGTTTATGGATCCGTCAGTTGATCGACTTCTGGTCGAATCCTCACTTGAATCGATTTGTGGGTCGATCCCTACTGATCGTCGTTGCTGGGATCGATCCCTCACATTTGGATACGAATTTTGTGGGTGCGATTCCCGATGCACTTGATGCGACTTGCTTGGGACGTTCGATCCTCCTCACTTGGATCGACATGCGGGTCGAATCATCCACTTGATCGACTTGCTGGTCGGATCCCTCCACTTGATCGACTTGCTGGGTCGATCCCATCACTCTGATCGACTTGCTGGGTCGATCCCAGCTTGATCGACTTGCTTGGTCGATTCGCCCCACTTGATCGACTGGCTGGGGCGATCCCTCAGCTTGATCGAACTGGCTGGGGCGATTCCCTCACTTTATCGGGACCTTGGCTGGGGGCGATCCTCACTTTAACGACGGCTGGGTCGATCCTCAGCTTTAATCGACTGGGCTTGAGGGTCGATCCCATATTTATCGACTGGCTGGGTCGATCCCTCACTTTAATCGACTGGCTGGGTCGATCCCCGTCACTTTAATCGACTTGCCTGCGGTCGATCCCTCAATTTATCCGACTTGCTCCGGATCGATCCCTCACTTGAATCGACTTGTGGGGCGATCGCTCCTTGATCGATTGCTGG